ATACCCCCCAAACGTCTGGCAATAGGAATGCAAATATTTCTTGTCCCTGAACTACGGTTGGAATCCTGGGCAATTCCCTCTTCTTGTGACATTATCTCTTCCTCTCCTGCACACTGAGGACGCAGGTTGAGAGCACAGACTTGATTCTCATCGCACCTGACTATAGCCAACTCCTTGGGTGTTCCTCTATAAAGGCAGTTCCCAGACACATGGTAGCATTTGGTGGAGATTTCTTAACGATGTTTAAATGCACCTTTTCTTCTATGTCCCAGTGAGAGTGCGGGCAGGGGAGTAGTCCATTGGCACCACTGTCTCCTGAGTGTCTTCCCAGGCCATCACGAATCAGCCCCGTGAACATCCAGGGCGAAGGATCTTAAGTAAAAGCTACAAAGTATGTTGTGTCTTTATTCTCTTTGATTTGCGCCCTTCTACTGGTGGTAAAATGCTTTTTTCCCTATGCTATGGCGGATTTTGCGTTCGGGCAAACATGGCAGCAAAAAACACACAACAAAAAGGAGATTTGGGATACTGTTCTGTGGGTGGACACGAAGAAAATCAGTGGCTCAGTCTATGCAGCATTAATAGCGTTCCCTGATAGTTTCATCCTCTGTGGGTCTAAATCTGGGCAGGCGCTTCTGATGATCTTCTCCTGTACAGACAAGCAGCGGGTTCCAGCACATATCGCAGAAGCACATGTCTCCCCAGAGTCTGCCCTGATCGTTCTAGAGCCCCAACGAGCATCCTCGTCCTGGCCAGCACCTTCTGTCCTTCCACACCACTCTCCTCCCTTGTTCATGTTGCATGTGCTCTTTTGACCGCGTCTCAGTTTGCGGGTTGGGTGAAGACAATGACCTGGTTTCTGTGTGTTTCCAATCTGCAGCCTCCTTCCGTGGTAGTGAGCCAATGATCATCACATGAGTCCGGCTCTGCTTCATCTGGGTAAGAGAAAAAAAAAAATCTCCAAATCTTAAGCAGAAATGCGACAACTGCAGCTTTTCAAATGGACCATGGTTTACTCACTCATTCACCCTCAATAATGCATGGAAACGTGAGGAGGAGCCGCAGGGCCTACTGAGGCTGACCCTTAGCGGCTTGAGGTTTCCTCCTGCACCGAGGGGAGCGCCACGCGGGCGCAGGGGCGTAGCAAGCAGGACGGCTGACCGGTCCGCGCAGCATTCGTGCACACTCGGCTCAGCCGCCCGTGCTTGGAAGCAAACCAGTGCTTTTCGGCCCCGCTTCCTGCCCGTGACAAGGCCCGAGTGTTGTCTAAAGTGTAACTGAGCGGAAAACCCACTTCTGCCAACAGAAAGACCAAGGTTCTTTGAGAAGCTCAAATCTCGAAAGAAAAGTGAGGCGTATTGTGCCATTTCTTCTCCTCAGGGAAGTAAGGAAATAACGGAAATTCCTTGCAAAGAGGATGAGCTGAGTGCCTATCCATCTGACAAGTCAAATCCACTTAAAATCAGAACCTCCAACCAGGGCAGAGGTATACCACCTCTTTGGGCCAGTCCCAGGAATCCTAGCTTGGGCATGTTCCGGGAAGGACATGGAGGAGCCCCCTGAGGAGCATCCGGAAACCCAGGCAGGCCCCTGGGACCCTCCTGAGCCTGCAGGGCCTCCCCTACCCGGAGCGCAGGACAGTCCCGCACAGCAGTACAGGGGCCCCCTGACAGCCAGAGCCCCTCTTCTCTGTGGTCCCTCCTCCTGTTCCTGTCGGCCCAGGCATTCTTCGGGGGCGCTGGCGTTGCACACGCCCACCTCGGGGATATGGGAATGATTCTGGAAGACACGAACAAGTGGAGGGGTTCAAGAGACAAAGTCGGTCCAGTGGACTGTAGATTGTTTCTCTGCTGAAAACTCTTGCTCTAACTGGGTCTCCTCAGTTCTGTGTTTGTCTATTTGGCATCTGTGGTCACAGAGTGAATTTTACCGTGCTTGTCGTCGTTTCTGCTGTTCTCGCGCTGACACGGTGCGCCGCCCACGCAGGACGGAGCAGCCTTCCCGGGCTGGGGAGTGCCTCAGTGGGGAGAAATGTTCCTGCAAGTTCGCCTGCTCACAGAACATGTGCCCGCCCAGGACCCAGGGCCCCAGAGCAGCTCCTTCTCAGGCCCACAACCAGAGGCCCACGTCCTGGCTGGCCCTCACTCCTGCGGCGCCTCGGACACACGAGGCCAGCACCCCCGCCCGGAGGCCTCGGACCCTGGTCAACCAGCCGACCGGAGCCGCCTGCCTCGCCTGCTCCGCTTCCCTCTGGAGACCCAGGAGGCTCGCCCTGGGGCTCCCCTCTCCTGCGTCTGCCTTCTCACCGAGCCTCGCGGGCCTGTGCCCTGGTGGCCTGCGGTCCCCTTCTGCCCGGAAACACCAGTAATAAAGTCTTCTTCCACATTGTCGCCCTCCCTACATCGTCTGTCAGTCACCTTTCCAAGGCAGTCCCAAGCTCTGCATTCCCTGTGAGCCGGGACACAGAAGCCTGGGTCAGACGTGGGAAACTCGAGCCGGGACTTTATGGAGGATGAGGAACGCCCACTTGCTTCAATCCTGGGATTTCGGAGTCCGTGAGCATCAGAAATCAGGGTAGAAGGTCAAATGGTCGATGGCTATGATAGGCAACGCCACACACGTGCGGTGACACTCCTTACCCCCGATTCGCACGCACAGTCCCCTGGGAGACAGCAGTGTCCCTGTGGGAACCCAGGCAACGCCGCCCTCACTGGGCTGACACGGGAGCGGCGGCGCTCCACGCCAGCCACACGCCCGACACTCGCCGCGACAGAGACAGACTCGTGCCGACCTCCCTCACGCTGCGACCTGGACCGCTCGCGTCGTGGACACGGAGTAGAAGGGGCTCACGGGGGCTGCAGCCCCTGGGCACTGGGGCGACGCCGGTCAAAGGACACAAGGTCTCACGGAAGCAGGAGGAGCAGGTAAAGGGATACGTTGCGCAGTTGGGGAGCACAGGACGGGTCCTGCTGGGTTTGGGTTGGGGCTTGTGTTCAAGTGCAGTGAGCTTGGGCCCCTGAGCAAGTCAAGGCACCACGTCCCTCTACCGTGGACAGCTGCCGTCTGTGCCAACAGGATCACTTTTTGTTCTTCGAATGACATCACATCCCGTCATTGTGTTGGAAGGAAATGAGCGGACGTGCTTGGCACGCGGAGATTATTTGCTCCATAAGAAGCAAAGAGCTGTGCACACCACAGGTAAAATATTCCGTGCTTTGATGGGGCTGCCCCGGGGTGGAGGACAGTCACGCGGAACAGAGGGAGGCTGCCGAGGAGGCTCCGGCGCTAACCCGGCTCAGCGACCTGCCCGCCTCATTCCGCAGGATCACGTAATCTTCAGCCTCACAGTTTCAGCGAGTTCCATGAGTTCTTCTAGTGAATCGTGCACCACGGAGGGGACTTCGGGAGCCCATGAACTTGCACTTGGTGTCAGAACTGAGCTTGCTCTCGTGTGGACTGTGTTCTCCGTAACTTCCCATTCGCCTAAAACCTCTGCAGGCAGAGTGGGCCCTTGACCTACACCTAATTGTGCGTTGGGTGTTGAGAATCCAAATTTTTATTACAATATTTATTTATTATTTATTATTTATTTATTGTATTATTTATATTTATTTGAGACACAGTCTCACTCTGTTGCCCAGGCTAGAGGTGAGTGCCGTGGCGTCAGCCCAGCTCACAGCAACCTCCAACTCCTGGGCTGAAGCGATCCTCCTGCCTCAGCCTCCCGAGTAGCTGGACTACAGGCATGCGCCACCATGCCCGGCAATTTTTTCTGTATTATTACTTGGCCAATTAATTTCTTCTATTTATAGTAGAGACGCGGGTCTCGCTCTTGCTCAGGCTGGTTTCGAACTCCTGACTCGAGCAATCCGCCCCGCTCGGCCTCCCGGAGTGCTAGGATTACAGGCGTGAGCCACCACGCCTGGCTACAATATTTTAAATTACCACATACTTAGGTAACTGATGGATGATCCTTACTGGAAATTCAACAAAACTAAATATAGAGAGCTCCAGTAACCACCTAGTAATGTTTAATTGAGAAAGTCATTTTGGCTCATCTAATATTAAAATAATAGTAAAATCTGCCAATTAAACCATTGTGGTGCTTTAATTGAGGAATACTGTTATAAATATGTCTTTTTCCTGTTGGGTTATTTTCCTGTTTAGACTTTTCGATCACTGCCAGGTCTCGCTGGTAAAGCATATTTCTTATAAAATGTCCATATCATTATTTTCAAATATTCAAATTATTTCGGATTCCGTGAGCATCAGAAACAGGGTAGAAGGTCAAATGGTCAATGGCTATGATAGGCAACGCACACATGTGCGGTGACACTCCTTACCGCCGATTCACACGCACAGTCCCCTGGGAGACTTACATTTACATTAACTTACATTTAATTATGAAAGTCAGTTCAGTGAATTCTACTGTAGTTTTAGGATGTCATGTTTTCCATTTTAAACTTATTTGTTCATTAATTCTTTTTAGTTCCTTGTCTGATTCCATTTGCCTGCTGCATGCTTTAGAATGTACCGCTTTGGGGTCTGAAGATTGAGAACGCACTTCATTTTAAAAAGAAGGAAATCTCAGAGAACTACCAAATTAGTGAGAGACACATGGTTCTCTGCTAGTTCCTCACACACCAAACCTCGACATTTCCTGCTCCTTGCCGCCTTCAGGACCATGAGAAAGTAGACACATCTGCTGCTCACTTCACAGTCTCTTTGGAGACACTCACAAGAAGTTGTATTTGCATTTGTAATTAGCAACTGGAAAAAGTTTCCTGAAAACTTAGTGAATCCCCATGTCTGCACTGTCATTGCTCCTACAGGCCAGATAATTTGAGATCCGAGGGGAGGATTAGGGCACAGATCACAAACCTTCACCTCAGGGTCCGGCCGCCTGTCCCACCCAGCGCCGGCGCTGCACCTGCACACGAGCAGCCGTCCGCGTGCGGAGCTCGCTGAGGGCGCGCGTCAGCCGTCTCAGGGCAGAGTCTGCAAGAAAGACAGTCTGAGTAAGTGCTTCTGTCTGGCGATGGAATCCTGTGTGGTAGAAACAGAAACAGCGGCGGAGCCAGAGCAGGCAGGCGGGGTCCTCAGTCACGACCTGTGCGAGTGAGAGAGCCGAGGGTCCTGGACCCGCCGCCACTCTCCGATGGCTCCTCGGGAATTAGGGAAATCCTCCCTGAGGGTGATTCTTGGTGAATATTCCCTCTGATAATTATGCAAGATTTAGGTGTTTAAGGAATGCAGCAATAAATATATGTTATTCATAGAACTTTACATACACTATAGTCCAAATTCACTGTCTTATTAGCCATGTAGTTAAAATGCCTTCATGGTTGTAGAACAATAAAGAGGATCATGACAATGTGAGAATAACTTCGGCAGGTGCAAAACCCTTGTGTCTGAACCCATGTCTGTGATAAGAAATGTGTTTTGGATTGCGTAACTGTGTGCATACTGCGCGCACAGGGAAGGCAGTGCCTGCGCTCCGTGTCGCCGCCCAGCTGTGCAGCGCGGGGCCCGCCCCTCCTTGAGGTCCGAGAAGCGGCAGTTGAGGAAACGGACTTTATTATTATTCACTGTCACAGACGACAGTGTTCAGGGTCAAAAGCAGCCCGAGTCATTTTCCTAAAGATATTCTACATGACTCTTTTAGTACACTGTGATTTTATTACAGTTGCAACTCTTAACATGAGGTGTACCCACCTCACAAAATGTGAAGCGCGGATCTGGCATGGCTCGCTGCAGGCACCATGTTGCACAGCAGGGACTGGGAGGCTCGCATGCTGCTCACCTCGGACTTTGTGCCCATTAACACGCAACCCCCATTGCCCCTCCCCGCTTCCAGCAGCCTCCGTCCCAGTCTCTGCACCAGGAGCTCGATTATTTGGGTGACACAGAGGAGCAGGATCGTGGAGGTTTGTCCTGTGACTGCTTTGCCTCACTTAGCAGCTCTTGCAGGATTTCCTCCTTTTCTCAGGCTGGGTAGTATTGCACAGTGTGTTCACACCACACTGTCTTCATCCTCTCATCCTTCAGTGGACACTTTGGCTGTTTTCACATCTTGGTTTTTCTGAACACTCTGCAATGAATGTGGGAGTTCTAACATGTCTTTGACAAACCGATTTTATTTTCTTGCATAAATGCTCAGAAATACGACTGTCGGGTCAGATGGTAGTTTTTCATTTAAATTTTTGAAGAACATCCACACTGTTTTACATGTAGGCTGCACCAGTTTGAGTTCCCACCAACAGTGTGCAAGGGATGCAATTTCTGCACGCCCTCCCCACGCGCCCGTGTCTGCTTGTGGCCAGGGCCCACTCTGACAGCGGTGTGGTGATGCCTCGTGGTGGTTTGGACTCCTATTTCCTATGTGGTGAGTGGCACTAAGCATATTACTTTATACCTCACAGTTATCTGTATTGCTTCTTTGGAGAAATGTCTATTCACGTCTTCAGCCCATATTTTAATTGAGCTAGTAGTTTCTTGTTTTGCAGGGTTTTTTCTATTGAGATGTAGAAATTAATTTCACTGCAAGTTCAACATCTATGATGCTTAAGATTTTATTTTCTGCAGATTTCATTTTACATATGTCTCTTGTATTTCCATTTGTTTCACAAAGATGGCTTCACTATTAATGGTTTCACTTAACTAGTACTTTAACATATTGATGACTGACTAATCAGAAATTACTAATAATTCAGTTTCTATCCTAAGCTATTTTGTTACATGTTAACAGTGCTCATGCCTCACTGTTTAAGGACACAGAAATAATGCTCAATAATTTCTATCATACGCACCATGGTGTTTTTCTTCCTATTGTGTCAGCGGATGAATCTTTCTACCACCACGATACTATCGAGCCAATCTTGCTCAGGAAATGCGATCTGCAAATGTTACAGATTCCGTTAGGACTGTGCTGTGGTTAGTGCATCTACATACACATCATTAGGATCTGGAAGGCTTTGTTCGTAGTGGATATTGACCTATATAGCAAATAGGCACACATAAATGAGAATCTGTTTTGCTCAACATTGTAAAATAAAACACAAATGATGTAAATTGAACTACCGGCATGCAAAAGTGGATGGGATGGTACATGAACAAAGCTGATATAGGTTTGGATTATATGGAAACAGAGCTGGCGTGGCTTGTGAGCACAGCACAGTCATCAGAATACTGTCCCTGCAGCCGTCCCAGCCAGGGTAAAGGCTCCACCGTGACTCTGGGCCGTTTGTGATGTTAGATCATTTACGGGCCCCGTACGTAAGTTTTACTTGTCCTTTTAGAACAGTAATGCCCGTGACAATATCACGCGCTTCTGAAATGAGAGAACACGCTACATGTGAGGCACTGTAGCAATGAACAATGCATATGGCACATGCCATTCAAAGACTTATGTTGAACTGCAAGAGATCTCTTCAGGACAGAATCTTTAAATACACAGTTCTCATTTCAGTGCGTATGGACAATACACCCACATCTCTCGCTCCCTTGCAGGACGTTCTCATCTCCACGTGGGTGTCAGCCTGGGACCTGGCAGAACGGCTCCCGGGACTTGGCAGTAACAACGTTCTACTCCTCTCAGAATGCACTAGGAAACCTAGGGAATGTCTCCCTTTTCCCCATCACTCCTTCTTTTACTTAACTGGGTGCCGCCTGAGGACCGCAGACCAGACTGTCAAGCACTGAATGCAGAGCAAGCCCTGGCTCATTCTTCCTAAAGGTATCTGCAACGTGCACCTCTGCACGCAGCACCAAGACTCTGGCAAATTTTTGGTGGAAGAGTGTTTGTATTGACTTGGATTCAAATGTCTGTCTCCATCCTCACAGAGTCGGCAGGGCATGACCACAGACGCCACCTGCGTTCTAGTGTCTGAAGCCGTAGTGGTGAGCAGAAGGAACGCCGGGGATGTGGAACTTAAGATAAATTCTCTCAACCCCACTGGAGCTTCCATTTACCTCTACTGGACCCTGTATATGCTGATAAATATAACTTTTCTTGGTTTTGATTTAAAACCTGAGGAGCAAAATCATCATGCACACACACAAAACACACAGAGAGATCTAGAATACTGCTGGGATGAGTTTTATGACAAAATCAAAGAGTCAATGTATACAATATTGCTACCATTTCCTGATGTTTCTTGTTGGAGCTCAGGGTCTGTGCCTGTGGCTACTTAAGTTTCTTCACGTGCAGACACAAGTGGCAGTTCTAATTCATAAGCAACATTTTCCACAGATGCTTCTGTTACTTCTGTCAATCATATGTATGTTCTTAAAATGAAATGCTCCTCACAGACTATAAGCCACAACTCGCTGAAATTTCACCAGCGGACAAAACTCTTCATGCAGCACATAGATCAGGCAACTGAATGTTGTCAGGACCCCCAGAAGCCTCCTTCTGCCCCTCTAAGTCACTGCCCCAAAGACTAATTAGTTCTCTTCGGAATATTTGTAGAAGTGGAACTGTTGGGACATAGGTTTACATCTACTGTAATATTTAAGAGATTACATAACTTTTGTCTCTTTAGCATCTTATATAAATGAGATCAGCAGGAATTCCTACATATTTCTCTCTTGTATGCAACTGATAAGGGTTACTTCCTGAACATATGTCTATTATTATATATCACTGATGGTCTTCATTAGCATTGCTCTATAGGATGCAATTACCCAAATAGGAGACAGTCAACTGAGTCATTCTAGTGCTAATGGGCATGTGGGTGGTTTGGGTTTTATTCTATTCTAAGTAAGAATAGTGCCACTACATAAAGTGTACAGCTTGTCTCTTGTTGACAACATGTCGGAATGTATGTTGGGTAAACTCATAGAAGGGAAATTATTGGAACATTCTTTGGCATCTGGTAAACTTATGCGGACACTGCCAAACAGTGTTTAAAATCTGTTTACCCTTTTCAACACCCAGCAGCAGGGTGGAGCTCGTGGTTTGTTCGTGTCCTTGCGAACCTCGATGTTTCTTGTCGTTTTTGTTTTAGCTTTCTGCTTGTTGTAGCTTTCTGCTACAGTTCCTGGTAGCAGTTTGACATACATTTTCCTGATTACTGAAGACATTGGGTACTTTTCACGTATTCATTATCCATGGAAGAACTTCTTTCTTGATCTTTCAACCGGGACATTTTGCCTGTTTTGCATTCACTTGCATGGTGTGTAGCGTTCTCTGGAGGGGTACAGAGAGCGCTCATCTGCCTTTGTCTCTCACTCTCTCTGCTGGGCTTTCTCTCGCCCTCTCTGTTTCTCTCTCTTTTACTCTTTCTTTCTATATATGAAAGTGTGTCTTTTTGGATACGATTATTATTTCATTCATATGTTCAACATCTTTCTTTTTTGCCGGAAACATGTTCTTATTCTTAGACCACAGAAATATATATATTTTTCCTCTAAAAGTTTAATTATTTATCTTTAATATCTATTTCAGTGATACACTCAGAATTAATGTGCTTTATGTTGTGTGTCATGACTGAAGCTTTTCTTTTTTCCCACATATCTAGAAAAACCTTCAGGGCATAAGAACATGTTGTGCTGTGGCATCTTTCCGTTTGCTGTCACGGGCCATCGCTTCCCCAGGTCACCACCTCATTCCTAGAGGCGACTGTCCATGAAATATATTGGAAACTCCTTTTATCTCCTTCTGCCCCTTAAAGATTCTGGCAATCCCACCGGAACACACCACCAAAGTCATTCTTGGTCTCAAAACTCTACAATGAGCCTTTCTGATCGGAGGAAGGTTTGTTGCTACAATTTGAAGGAGAACGTCCTGAATGAGGGAATAGCATGCAGGGACTTGGCGATAGGAATGATGTTCCTGTCCCTGACTACGGTTGGAATCCTGGGCAATTCCTCTCTTCTTTACCATTATCTCTTCCTCTCCTACACTGGACGCAGGCTGAGGAGCACAGACTTGATTCTCACGCACCTGACTATAGCCAACTCCTTGGTGCTTCTCACTAAAGCAGTTCCCCAGACAATAGTAGCATTTGGGTGGAAACATTTTGTTAATGATTTTAAATGTGACCTTCTTCAGTACGTCCAGAGAGTGGGCAGGGGAGTGTCCATTGGCACCACCTGTCTCTTGAGTGTCTTCCAGGCCGTCACTATCAGCCCCAGGAACTCCAGGTGGAAGGATCTTAAGGTAAAAGGTCCAAAGTATATTCGTGTCTCTATTTGCTTTTGTTGGATCCTACACTTGATTGTAAATGTTTTTTTTCCTGTGTATGGGTTGTATGGTTCAGGAAAATGGGGCAGCAAAAACATCTCAAAGAAAAGAGATTTGGGACACTGTTTTGTTGCAGAGGATCAGAAAATCAGTGTTTCAGTCTATGCAGCATTAATAGCGTTCCCGGAAGTTTCATTTTCTGTGGGCATAATCTGGGCCAGCGCTTCTATGATTTTCATCCTGTACAGGCACAAGCAGCGGGTCCAGCACATTCGCAGAAGCAATGTCTCCCCCAGAGTCTGCCCTGAGTCTAGAGCCGCCAAGAGCATCCTCGTCCTGGCCAGCACCTTTCTGTCCTTCCACACACTCTCCTCCCTCTTTCACGCTTCTATTGCTCTTTTTAATGATCTCAGCTTATGGTTGGTGAAGATTGCAGTGCTAATTTCTGTGTGTTTTCCAAGTGTCTGCCCCTTTTTGGTGGTGACCCGTGATCACACTCAATCCAGGCTTTGCTTTATCTGAGTAAAAAAATAAGAAATACTCAAACATTATCAGAAATGTTTAAGTCCATGCTTTTTCACCATGACCAGTTGTTTTTTCACTCATCACCCTTAAAATGACTATGCAAAAACATGGTCAGACACCATGGTTTACACCTGTAATCCAAGGTAAGACTCAGGAGGGTCATTTGAGGTCAGGAGTTTGAGAGCAGCCTGAGTAAGCGCAAGACCCTGAGTCTAAAATCAATCAATCAATCAATAAAGTCCATAATAGAAAGAAAACTTACAGAGGAGCCTCATGTCTACTGAGGCTGACCCTAATGGCTAAAAGGTTTCCTCCTTGCTCGAGTGGAGCACCCACGTGGCACAGTGGGCATCAGTAAGCAGGATGGCTGAACTGGGACGCGCAGCATTCTGTACACAGTTAACTCAGCCAGAAACTGAGTGTTTTCGGTTCCATCTCCTAAACCTGAAAACTCTGAGTGATTTTCTAAGTGGTGAACTATGCAACAATACATTCCTGCCACACAAAGATCAAGTTGTTTGAAAAGCTCAACTCGAAAGAAAAGTGAGAGGTATATACATACATAATGAGTGAGATGTGCACCATCTGGGGGATGGTCATGCTGGAGACTCAGACTTGTGGGGGGAAGGAGGGAAAGGGTATTTATTGAAACCTTAAAATTTGTACCCCCATAATATGCCGAAATAAAAAAAAGAAACAAACAAACAAAAGTGAGACGTATGTACTAGTTACTTCACCTCAGGAAGTAAAGAAATAAAGAAAATTCCTTTGCAAAAGAAGCAAATCAGTGTTACCCTCTGAAAAAGTCCAAATCCACTTCAAATCAGAATCTCATGAGAGTCTGAACTCAGGAGAATGACAGAAACATTGGCCCAGTCCCAGAGAAGATTCTAGGCTTGGGCATATCCCATAGAGGAGCTCCACACCCAGGCAGGCCCTGGGGACCCTCCTGAGCCTGCAGGGCTCCCCTAGCCCGAGCGCAGGACAGTCCCGCACCAGCAGGTACAGGGCCCCCCTGACAGCCAGAGCCCCCTCTTCTCTGTGGTCCCCTCCCTCCTGTCCTGTCGGCCCAGGGCTCGCCGGGGGCCTGCGTTGCACACGCCCGCCTCGGGATAGAGATTCAGGAAAGACACGAACAAGTGGAGGGGTTCAAGAGACAAAGTCGGTCCGTGGACGTTAGACTTGTTCCTTCTGTGACAAACTCTGCTCTAACTGGGTCTCCTCAGGTTCTGTGTTTGTCTATTTGGCATCTGTTGGTCACAGAGTGAATTTTTTACCGTCTTGTCGTGGTTTCTGTGTTCTCGCGGCTGACACCGTGGCCGCCCACGCAGGACGGAGGCAGCCTCCCCCGGGCTGGGAGATGCTCAGTGGCAGAAATGGCTTCCTGCAAGTCGCCTGTCACAGGAACATGTGCCCGCCCAGACCCAGGCCCCAGACAGCTCCTTCTCAGGCCCACACACCAGAGGCCCACGTCCTGCTGCCCTCACTCCTGCCGGCGCCTCGGACCACACGACCAGCACCGGCCCCGGCCCCGAGGCCCTCGGACCCTGGTCAACCAGCCGACCGGAGCCGCCTGCTCCGCCTGCTCCGCTTCCCTCTGGAGACCCCAGGAGGCTCGCCCTGGGCTCCCCCTCTCCTGCGTCTGCCTTCTCACCGCAGCCTCGCGGGCCTGTGCCCTGGTGGCCTGGCGGTCCCCTTCTGCCCGGAAACACCAGTAATAAAGTCTTCTTCCACATTGTCGCCCTCCCTACATCGTCTGTCAGTCACCTTTCCAAGGCAGTCCCAAGCTCTGCATTCCCTGTGAGCCGGGACACAGAAGCCTGGGTCAGACGTGGAAACTCGGAGCCGGGGACTTTATGGGAGGATGAGGGAACGCCCACTTGCTTCAATCCTGGGATTTCGGAGTCCGTGAGCATCAGAAATCAGGGTAGAAGGTCAAATGGTCGATGGCTATGATAGGCAACGCCACACACGTGCGGTGACACTCCTTACCCCCGATTCGCACGCACAGTCCCCTGGGAGACAGCAGTGTCCCTGTGGGAACCCAGGCAACGGCCCTCACTGGGCTGCACACGGGGAGCGGGGCGCGGCTCCACGCCAGCCCACACGCCCGACACTCGCCGCGACAGAGACAGACTCGAGCCAACCTCCCTCACGCTGCGACCTGGACCGCTCGCGTCGTGGACGCGGAGTAGAAGGGGCTCACGGGGGCCGCAGCCCCTGGGCACTGGGGCGACGCCCAAAGGACACAGGTCTCACGGAAGCAGGAGGAGCAGGGTAAAGGGATACGTTGCGCAGTTGGGGAGTCTCGTTAACAACAAGCTAGTGAATGTCTGAAATTTGCGAGGCGTAGGGTGTAAGTGTTCTCACACACGCAGAAAAGTATGTGAGTTGACAGGCGTGATAGGTGCCTTGATGTAGCCATTCCTTGATGTGCAGACATGGCTCACCACACACCATGTAGGTATAGAATGTTATCTGTCAGCTTTAAAAATAAATAATAATAGAAGTCAGACGGAGGCCTTTCTTGGAAGTGTATCCGGTCACAGTGCTTGCTGCCCTGAGGCTGGGCTGCTCCCGATCTCCGGCTAGGGCGTCTCGAGGGCGCCTCACTTCCACACACCCGGGCCAGCAGCGCTCCCCGTCGCTGTGCTGGTGGCTCCCGCCTCCCAGTGTTCAGTCCAGTCACCCCTGGAGTTATCCCCAACTTCTCCTTCTCTCTCACACCACTTCATGTCTGTCAGAACAAGTAATTTTATTGTTGTTATTTATTTTGTAAGTTGTCAATAAATCTTGTGCCTTAACTAATTTACTTTATTGACGTGAAAGTCATACAACATAAAATTAAGCATTTTATCTGTATAATTCCATGGCAATTAGCACATTCACGGTGTTGTGCAACCAACCACCTCCTGTCTAGTTCCTGCCCTAAAAGTGGAGCCCAGGTTTTGACACCTGTGGGTGCAAACAAAATCTCCACCCTGACAGAGCCTGTGGGCACGTTCACTGCCCCACGGCTCCCTCACGCCCTCAGGCGTCCCTTCCTCTCCTCAGCATCATCCAGGCGGCCACCCATGTTCTTTGCCACTGCTGACCAGCGGCGGGATCTTCCAGGATGCGGCATGAACAGACGCACACGGCACGCGTCCGTTCTTTACCTGCCCTCTCCACCTCCATCGCCTCTCTGACATTCATCCGTCTTCTGTCTGTCATCTGTGGTCCCTTTCTATTGTTGAAGATTATTCCACATTTTATCAAATCGTGCCCTTTGGCTATGCGTGACCTCCTCTATGTCCACCATACCTCTAAATCTGCAAGAAAAAGAAAAGGCTGTTCTCTGAAAACTTGAAGAAAAGTCAAATCTGATAGTTCCGCCAGGTCGGCTGCGAGCACGGGGGGGTCAGCCCGGTCGTCTCTCTCCTGGCGATCGGGTCGTCCTCACTGAGCTCCCTGTTTCCCCCCTTCCCTCCACAGGCGATTGGCGAGAAAGCATCCGGCGGCCCGTGAGACAGGTGCAGAAGGCACTCCGGGAAGGCAGCGCGAGTCTCAGCTGTTCCTGGCATCCCTACAATGCCCAGCCCCGCGATAGGAGTGGGCAGGGTCAACCCGATTCCAGCCCAACGACACAGAGAGTGGCCCCTCCACCTGCTAGTGCAGGGGTCAGAAGTTCACGGGTCACTGCTGCTGGGCTCGGGTTTGGGTTTCTGCAGTGAGCTTTGGGCCCCTGAGCAAGTCAAGGCACTGCGTCCCTTTGCCATGAACAGCTGCTGTCTGTGTAAACAGGGTCTACTTTATGTCCTTTGAATGACACCCATCCCTCACCATTGTGTTGAAAATGAAATACGGGGACATGCTTGTCACGTGGAGATTGTTTGCTCCTAAGGGCTGAGCACACCACAGGTAAAATATTCCGTGTTTTGATGGGGCTGCCCCCGGGGTGGAGGACAGCCACGCGGAACAGAGGGAGGCTGCCGGGGAGGCTGCCAGGAGGCTCCGGCGCTAACCCGGCTCAGCGACCTGCCCGCCCCATTCCCTGCACAGCGCCAAGAAATCTCCCTCCCGTCTGCTGTTCCTTATCTGGGATCAGCGCTCAAATCTGAGTGTGAAGTGCCGTGTCATCTGTCTGTGGACACATGAGGTCTTCATGTGCACAGGGCAAAGCTGCGGCCGCAAATGGCTGTGCCTGGAGGAAGGTTAGTGTCATTGACTCCAATAAAAACATTCCCACTCACTGGAAGCACTGCATTCTGTATGTTTTTTTTTTTTTAAGACAGCGTCCAGTTCTGTGGCCCGGGCTGGAGCTCAGTGGAATCATCACGGCTCACTGCAACCTCCCACTCGTGGGCTCAGCAATCCTCCTGCCTCAGCCTCCCAAAGTGCTGGGATTGCAGGTCTGAGCCAGCTCGCTGGTCTGCGCTTTGATCATGGGCAGGGAGGGAAGCCTTACTGTGCGTCCAGCACAGCAGAGAAATGCCTTGGTGCCAGCCGTGACGCTGTCCTCCACACACATTCCGCGCCGCCTTTCCCACGCCCTGAGGAGGTGACAACGTGTTCTTGCGATTAGTATGTTTGCAGAGAAGTAGACACGAAACAGACTGTGAGGAACTAACTTCTGCTGAAACTGCCTTGAGATTTGGAAGGGAGGGAAACAGGCACGGCTGGCGTCTGGAGGCAAACGCCACCACCATCCTTAGGGCCCAGGCTGGGTCCGGGAGAAAGCTGACAGGAGGCGGGGGAGCGGGAGAAAGCACGCCGCGGGAGGCGCCGTGAGGCCGGGCGAGGCGGGCGAGGCGGCCGCGCGGGTCGCAGAGTGAGCTGCGGAGGGAGAAATCAACCTGGGGAGGTTCAGAGGCGTGAGTTATTTTAACAAGGTCTGTGCAGAGTTCTCTGTCTGGGCTTCTCGTCTTTGATGATAAGACGGTGTTTCCTTTGGTCTAGGCAGGGCGTCTTCCACACGGGATTCCGTCTCCTGCATTCGAGATACAGCGGGCAGCTCAGAGGGTCTTCTTGCACCTGCTGTCCTTCCAGTGCCTTTAATGCACACAGTCACGATGCCAGGGCGACACGTTTTAACTCCTTCACAGGCCTTGGCCCCACAGCAGTAGCAAACCCATTAACACGGCCAGAAACAAAATAAAGGACGGCGAGTACAGTCCTGTGTCGCATAAGGATGGGACAGTTCTGAGAAATGCACCCTCAGTTAGGTGATTCAGCGGCTGTGCAGATGCCAGAGTGCACGCACACACACCTGGACTGAGTGGCTTGCCGCACACGCAGGCCACTCCCGCCGGCAGCCCCAGCCCCACTGCCGGTGTCCGGAGGGAAGTGCAGGCCTGCCCGGTTGTCAGTCCAGGTGCTGGTCTCCCCGAGCACGGCTAGTCCCCTCTCTCACGACAGCCCGCGTGTATTGAACACACTCGCACGGCGGCTGCTGTGTGACAGCCTCCTATAGACCATGAATTTGAAAACAGTTCATTGTCCGCTGAGTCGCTGTGAAAACTCTGGCACAGCCAGGCTGACTTGAGCCATGCCCGGCACTGTGACCAGCAAGGTGTGGTGAGCGCCCTCTATGAGCCTCACACTCGAGCAAACCGCCTAGCCGAGGACACGTTGCTCTACGCAGCCCCTTCCCTAAGGGGCACACGACTGTACGTGGCGTCCTTTGTTTTATTGCTCCCAGTACTGATCACTGCTGCTGCAGCGGCCAAGTCCCAAGAAAGAGCTAAAGCATGTCCCGCTGGCATTATTGGCAATTTAAGTTCAAGGCACTTGAAAAGTATTGATCTTGCACAATGATGAGTATCAACTAATCCCCATGCGCCAAGCATACCCTCTTATGTCACTCGAAAGGCAAAAGTGGATCCTGTTTTTACAGACAAGAGATGTCCAGGCCAAAGGCTTGGTGGGGCAGGCTGAGCTGTGATGCTCAGTCACTCGCCTAACAGCGCACGCATTTCATTGACTACAGTTTCAACTCACAATAGGGCTGCCAGCATGAAGCCCCGTCGTCGTAAGTTGAGGGGCGAGGGGCGCCTCTGCTGTGTTGTGTACTTTAAATTTGCTAGGAGGGCAGATCTTATGGGTTCTCACCACACATACAGCAAAGCAGGCGGCAGAGGAAGCAGGAAGGAGAGAAAAAGAAAAGAGAAGGAAAATATTTAAAAATAAAAATAAAATTAAGACGGTAACTATGAGCAGTTGAAAGATTTTATTTCATACAACTGTCTCGATGTCGAAAGCATATTAGCTTGATTGTGGTGATTATTCCACAATATGTACAAACATCAAGGCATCAGCACGGTGGCCTTGGCTAGTTGTAATATACAGTAAAAGCCTTAGCCAGAGCAAGGACTAGAGAGACTCCAAACTGGAGAAGAGGTGGTCAACTGTCCCTTGCAGACACCACGATGTAAGACATAAAAATCCCTACACGGCTTCCACAACTTTCTTAGAACTGATAAACAAACAGACATCTCTCAAAAGACATCCAAATGGCCAATAGGTATATGAATAGATGCTAAATATCATTATTCATCAGGGAAATGCAAATCAAAACTACTGTGAGATATCATTTCGCCCCAACTTACATGGCTTTAATGCAAATACGGCGATAACGTGATAAGGAGCCCTGGGCTGGGGAGGATGTGGAGAAAGGGGTCACTTGTGCACCGTTGGTGGGAATTAGATTAGTGCAGCCTCTGTGGGGTCAGCGAGGGGTCCCTCACAAAACTGCAGACAGGACTACCCTCGGATTCAGCCCTCCCGTTCTGAGTGCACATGCAAAAGAAAGGAAATTTGCACATTGAAGAGATACCTGCACTCCCGTGTTTACCGCAGCACTGTTCACAACAGCCGAGATTCGGAATCCACTTACGGTCCATCAGCGGAGGAATGGATAAAGAAATTGTGGTACATATGCAGAGGGAAATATTATTAAGCCATAAAAGAATGAAATCCCTTCACCGGAAGCAACATGGATGGAATTAGAGGGCATTATGTTAAGTGAAATGAGCCAGGCCCAGAAAGACACGTGACACGCGTCTGACTCACATGTGGGAGCTTCCAACGCCGCTGTCCTGGAGCCGGAGAGCAGAGCGGAGGTTACCAGAGACTGGGAGGGTGGGCGGAAGGCAGGTGAAGGGTTTGGTTGGGGCTAGACAGAAGGGCTAAGTTCTAGAGGCATCACACAGCATGGTGACTATAGATGAAAATAATTTGTTGTGTGCTTCACAGTAGCTAGAAGGGAAGATTTACAATGTTCCCAACACAAGAGAATGGTAAATGTTTGAGGAGATGGATATCCTAATTGCCCTGATTTGACCATTGCACATTGTATGCATGCATCCAAATATTACATATACCCCACAAATATGCATCATTATTATGTATGAATAAAAACCAATGTATTGCTAATTTTGAAATTGGTAAAAGAGCAGGTTCTACATGTTCTCACCACACACAAAAAAAGGTGCGTGCAATGATGGATATGTTAATTGGATTGATTTAATCATTTCCGAATGTAACACATGTAAACATTATATTGTGCCTGGGCCACGAAGGGAAGCCCCATCTCTCTTAAATACGTGTTTAAATCAGCCGGGCATGGTGGCACAGGCCTCCACTCCTGGCTACTTGGGAGGCTGAGGCAGAAGGATCACTTGAGCCCAGGAGTTCGAGGCTGCAGTGAGCTATGATAGGGCCACTGTACTCTAGCCTGGGCCACAAAGCAAGAAACTGTCTCAAAAAATATTATCATTTCTGAATTAAATTGTAAATGAATGAATTTTTAAAAATCAAGTTGTTCACTTTTAACATAAGTGGCGCTTTTTTTTTAACAGCTTCCAAAGGAGCTGTAACAGTTAAGCGACTTTTATTCCCATTCTGAATGGCTAGGGATCTAGGCATGTCATTAAAAGAATGCTGAGGCTAAACAATTGGTGCTTCCAAATCCAACCACTGAGCCCAGCGTGTGTGAACAGCATACCCTGAGACAAAACAGAGGAGCGCAGAGCGCTAGACCTGTGGGGATCAGACATTTCACCTCAGTGGAGAATTCAGAGCCCATAGAAGAGCAAGATAAGGAAGGTGGGAGACCAGAAGGCATGCCTGGTTTCAAGAGGGAGGGTTTGGGGAAATTGGGATGACAGATGGTGGTTTCTGGTGGATTCCATGTAATCCTACTTAATCATTCTTTTTCTTTTCTTTTTTTAGAGAGAGAGAGACGGGGTCTTCCCTGTCACCCAGGCTGGGGCCGCACAGTGGCACAGTAGCTCACTGCAGCTTGAACTCCTGGGCTCAAGTGACCCTCTTGACCCAGCCCCCTGAGTAGCTGGGACAACAGGACACGCCACCACCCTTGCTAGTTTCCTAGATTTTCTTCCTCTTCCTCTTCTTTTTCTTATCTATTTATTTATTTGTTTTTTAGAAACAGGGTCTCACCATGTTGGCCATGGGGGCTGAATAATTCAATTCTTAACTCTGACTCACTGTCCCTACGTCAATTGTTAAGAAGGAAAAATATCAGAAAGTATCAGAAAATGAATTAGAAAATAATTATCACCATTGTTTTGGCCAAATGATCTGTATGAGGCACTTTACTGACATAGTCTTATTTAATCATCAAAACCACACGTAATGGAGGTAATGTTCCCTGGTTCTCCTCACAAGGAGTTTGAAGCTCACATTGTTAAGTGGCTTCCTTAAGATTCCCATGGATTTAAACCAGGCTCTGTCTAGAACCAGCAGCCCTCCAGCTTGGCTTAAATGCTAGACAAGGAAGTTTACTCTAAACTTAAGAGAAACAATTCACTATATTTGAATGGATTTGTGTGTCAAGTTGTAAGCTAATCATGCCTAGCGCTTAATTATTATTCCATGTTGAGACATCCACATGACAAAATTCAGACCCATCACTGAGGATTTCCAGATACTCTGGGTCCGAATTCAGGGTTTGGGAACTGAAGTTCCACGTGGAAGCCTCAGTTTATCCACAAACCTCCCTTCCCACCCTCCCGCAGCAAACGAAAACTGATGTCAGGGGATCTTCTCTGGTTCCCACTGCTTTATTATACAAGGGTAGGTTGACTCCCAAACCAAGGATTTAATCTAGTTTGAGCAAAGCTTTAATATATTAATTACACAATCTTGAAAAGGGAATAAAAATTATCAGTAATATTCATGAGTTATCAATAGTGACTGGACATGTTCCAGTAGGGAGGGATTAATACGGAAAAGCTTTGCTCAAACTAGATTCACCACTGAGTGCACATTGGCCGACCACTCTCACCACATTTTTAATATTTCAGGACATGATGGGGGCGCAAACATTTTGGTGACATGTTATGACTTTGCCTCCCCCAACCAGAATCTCCCCCGCACAGTGTGGGCCTCGTCCATCAGTCATGAGTTTACCTACCCGCATCCCCGCGCCCAGGGAATATTCCTGCCCTGCGGGCACCGCCGTGTAGACCGGCCACCCGGCGGACAGCGGGCGCATGTGCGGCCTACTCTTCCGATCTGGTGACACCTCCCCTCGGACCCGGTGAGTGCTTGGGTGGGAGACCACGTTCTTTACTTGTTAGAAAGTTGCTGTGTGTGGCGTGAGGGAGCTCATGTCTTCAGACCGCCCTTCTCTTTTTACACCCTCCACTTGTTCATGTCTTTCCAGAATCTCTATCCCGAGGCGGGCGTGTGCAACGCAGGCCCCCGGCGAGCCCTGGGCCGACAGGACAGGAGGGAGGGGACCACAGAGAAGAGGGGGCTCTGGCTGTCAGGGGGGCCCTGTACCTGCTGGTGCGGGACTGTCCTGCACTCGGGCTAGGGGAGCCCTGCAGGCTCAGGAGGGTCCCCAGGGCCTGCCTGGGTGTGGATCCTCCTCAGGGGGCTCCTCCATGTCCTCGGAACATGCCCAAGCCTAGGACCTTCCCTGGGACTGGCCAAAGGTGGTCTCACTCTCCTGAGTTGGAGGTTCTGATTTTAAGTGGATTTGGACTTTGTCAGAGGATAGCACTCACTCACCTCTTTGCAAAGGAATTTTCCGTTATTTCTTTACTTCCTGAGGAGAAGAAACTGGCACATACGCCTCACTTTTCTTTCGAGTTGAGCTTCTCAAAGAACCTGGTCTTTCTGTGGCAGAAGTGGGTTTTCCCGTCAGTTCACCACTTAGACAACACTCGGGCTTGTCAGGCGCAGGAGACGGGGCCGAAAGCACCGGGTTTGCTTCCAGCACGGGCGGCTGAGCCGAGTGTGCACAGATGCTGCGCGGCCCGGTTCAGCCGTCCTGCTTGCTGACGCCCCTGCGCCACGCGGGCGCTCCCCTCGGGCAGGAGGAAACCTCAAGCCGCCAGGGTCAGCCTCAGTAGCCCTGCGGCTCCTCCCTACGTTTTCCATGCATTATTTGAGGGTGATGAGTGAATAAACCATGGTCATTTTGAAAAGCATGCAGTGTTCACATTTCTGCTAAGATTTGGAGATTTTTTTTTTTCTTACCCAGATGAAGCAGAGCCTGGACTCAGTGAGATCATGGCTCACTACCAGGAAAGGGCTGACAGTTGGGAAACACACAGAAACCAGGTCATTGATCTTCACCAACCACCAACTGAGACCGTGCAAAAGAGCAATGGCAACCTGACAGAGGGAGGAGAGTGTGTGGAAGGACAGAAAGGTGCTGGCCAGGACGAGGATGCTCTTGGCGGCTCTAGACTCAGGGCAGACTCTGGGGGAGACATTGCTTCTGCGAATGTGCTGGACCCGCTGCTTGTGCCTGTACAGGATGAAGATCATAGAAGCGCTGGCCCAGATTATGGCCACAGAGGATGAAACTTCAGGAAACGCTATTAATGCTGCATAGACTGAGCCACTGATTTTCTCGTCGTCCACCACAGAACAGTATCCCAAATCTCTTTTCTTTGTGATGTTTTTGCTGCCCTGTTTGCCCGAACCAAAAATCCCATACATAGGGAAAAAAGCATTTACCACCAAGTAGAAGGTCCAACAAAAGGAAATAAAGACACCAACATACTTTGTAGCTTTTACCTTAAGATCCTTCCACATGGAGTTCACGGGGCTGATTGTGATGGCCTGGAAGACACTCAGGAGACAGATGGTGCCAATGGACACTCCCCTGCCCACTCTCTGGACATAGAAGAAAAGGTGGCATTTAACATCGTTAAAGAAATCTTTCCACCCAAATGCTACCATTGTCTGAGGAACTGCTTTAGTGAGAAGCACCAAGGAGTTGGCTATAGTCAGGTGCGTGAGAATCAAGTCTGTGCTCCTCAACCTGCGTCCAGTGCAGGAGAGGAAGAGATAATGGTAAAGAAGAGAGCAATTGCCCAGGATTCCAACCATAGTCAGGGACAAGAATATCATTCCTATTGCCAAGTCTTGGGGGGTTATTCTGTCATTCAACATGTTTTTCTTCAAATTGTAGCAACAACCCTTCGTCCGATCAGAGGCTCATTGTAGAGTTTTGAGACCAAGAATGACTTTGGTGGTCTGTTCTGGTGGCCTTGCCAGAATCTTTAAGGAGCAGAAGGAGATAAGAGGAGTTTCCGATGTATTTCATGGACTGTCACTTCTAGGAATGAGGTGGTGACCTGGGGAAGCGATAGCCAGTGAGACTAAACGGAAAAATAACAAAACACGATACATTCCTCTTGACCTGAATTTCATTCTAGATTTGCGGGAAAAAAGGAAAACCTCAGATATCTCTCCTAGCATACAACACATTAATTCTCAATGGGTTGCTGATCTAAATATTACATTTAAATAATATAAGTTTTAGTGGGAAACTAATATTTCTGTGGTCTAAAAATAGGAAAAGGATTCCTGCAAAGCACAAAATACAGTAACCATATGAATGAAATAATAAATTGTATTAAAATTAAGAATTCTCTCATGAAAAGACACACAAGTATACGTGGAAAGAAAGAGTAAAGGAGAGAGAAGCAGAGACAGATGCACCTACAGAGAGAGAGACTGTGAGAGACAGAGTGCGAATGGTTTGTATCCATCTGGAGAAATCTCACACACCACACAAGTGAATGGAAAACGGGCAAAATGTTCCAGTAGAAACATAAAGAAAGAACTGATTCCATGGTTACTGAATACATGAAAACTATCCGACGTCTTTAGTAACCAGGCAAATTTATATAAAACAACTACCTGGAACCATCATACAACAACCAGAAAGCCCAAATGAAAACAACAAGAAATATCAAGGTTTGCAAGGATGTGGGCAAACCAAGAGCTCACACGCTGAGAGTGGGTGTTGAAATGGGTACAAACATTTTGAAAAACTGTTTGGTAGTGTCTGCACACGCTCACCAAATGCCAAAAAGAGAGATATTTTTGAGATATTTTGAGCTATTTTTGAAATATTTTGAGATATTTTCCCTCAAATGCATTTAATCAATATACATTCTTAAAGGCTGTAATCAGGAGACAAGCTGCACAATTTATATGATTGCTCTGTTCTTACTCGTAATATCCCCAAATGCAAAGGGCCACATGCGTATCAGCAGTAGGATGACTCTGTCACCTGCTTGATATTTCGCCAGTGGGATCCTGTAAAGCAATGCCAATGAACACCACCAAGCACGTATAGCAATAAAGATGCCTTCGGAAAACATGCCTTAGGGAGTGTAGGTAAGAGTGAGATACGAAAGAATTCCTGTCGAACTCACCTGTGTAAGGACACAGGCAAAAGTCGCCTACCTCATCAATATCGCCATAGACGGAAACCTATGTCTCAACAGGTTCCGGTCCTCAAATATGCCCAACACAACTGCGGTCCTTGGGGCAGTGACTTGGGGGCTGAAGGAGGCTTCTGGGTCCTGACAACACTCAGTCGCCTGGTCCATGTGTTGCAGGAAGACGTGTGTCACTTGTGGAGTTTCGGTGAGTCGTGGCGTATCCCCTGTGATGAGCACTTCATTTTTAACATGTATATATGACTGAAAACATTAACAGAGGATCCTGGGGGAGATGTTGCTGCTCAAAATGAGTGAGAACTGCCGCTTGTGTCTGCACAGGACGAAACTCAAGGAACCAGAGGCACAGACCCTGAGCTCCAACCGGAAACATCAGGAAATGGTAGCAATATTGTATACATTGACTCTGATTTTGTCATAAGACTCGTCAGAACAGTATTCTAAATCACAGTGTGTGTGTGTGTGTGTGTGATGGTTTTGCTGCTGAGTTTTATAATCAAAAACTAAGAAAAAATATTTAGCAGCACATACAGGATCTGGTAGAGAAAAATGGAAAACCCTGTGTGGTAGGAGGATTTATTTTGAGTTCTACATACCTGGAGTTCCTTCGGCTCATCGTGACGGCTTGAGACAGTCGAAAACAGGTGGCATCGTGATGATACCCTGCCAACTCTGTGAGAATAGGAAACAAATTTGAATCCAAGTCATTAAAAGCACGCATCAACCAACACTTTGCCGGAGTGTTGGTGCTGCACACAGAGGTGTGCCCTGCAGACGTCTGCAATGACAGAGAATGGGCAAGAGCTTGCTCTGTAATCAGGTGCCTGGCGGTCTAAGCTGTGCTCCTCAAACGACTCCCGGTTAAGTAAAAGAAGGTGTGATGGTGACTAAGAGAGAAATTCCCTAGGATCCCAACCACATTCTGAGATGAGTTGAACACTGCTACGCCAAGTCCCTGCAGGCCATTCTGCCAGGACCCAGGTACCGACATTGGTGTCAAGAGCAAATCGTTCTGTGAGGGAACAGGAGATGTGGACTACATTGCTCGTATTCCCTGAAACGAGAAATATTTACTTAAATTGTGTTTTCCTAAGAGACTTCTTAGAGCAGAATGTATAAACTTTGAGTAGCATGTACAGCATATATTACTCACTGCTAAATGCCATATTCGGTAGCTTCTTTGATTTTCCTAACTCCATGATGTTTCAGGAACATTACTTGTCTGTAAAGAGAAGTAAAAGTGAGATACAGAGACGATCTGATGTCACAACCTACTTCGAGTCAGACTGGAGTCTTGGACCTGGCCGGGCTGGCTGCAGGGACAGCATCCTGATGGCTGTGCTGTGCTGACAACCCTCGCCCGCCCTGCTTCCATACAATCCACACCTACACTTAGATCTGCTTGCCTGCCGTTCCATTTGATTTTACATTCCGGCAGTTCACTTTACATCATTAGTAATTTATGTTACAATTCTGATCAAAACAAGTTTTCATTTCCCTGCAAATATTCACTGTGTAGGTCAATATCAAATAAGAATAAAGCCTTCAAGATCTTAATAAAGTGAGGATGCACAAATCACAGCACAAACTGGAAGGAAACTATGTCATGTGCAAATTGGATTTACTGGATGCAATATTGGCTCAATATTATTTTAGTAGAAAGATTCATTTGTGGGCATGATAAGAGGAAAAATACAATGGTTTCTATCCTAGAAATTGTTAAACAATATCTCTGTGTCCTTAAACAGTGATGCGTGAAATACTAACATGAGCCAAAATAGTATAGAATGGCAACTGAAATGTTACTAATTTCTGATTGATTATTCATGCATTTGTTAATTTACTAGTTATATAAAACCATTAGTCATGAAGCAAAATTCATGATATATATTGATATATAAAGGACATATGTAAAATAAAAACTGAAGGACACAATATCTTGAGCATAAGAGATGCTGAAATCGGAATGAAATTAATTTCTACAACTTAACAGAAAGAAAAAAATACCTACAAAATCGAGAAACCAGTAGCCAAATTTTAAAAAGGGCTAAAGCCTTGAATGGACATTTCTGCAAAGAAGAAATACAAATAACTGAGAAGTATATACAAATATGCTCAAGGCCACTAATCTGGTAGGAAATACAAATCAAAACTCCAGTGAAGTCTCACCACACATCTGTCATAGTGGCTATTTGCAAAAACAAAAGATAACTGTGTGCTCAGGATGAGGAGAAATTAGAGCCCTAATACACTGTAGTTGGGAAATCAAAATGGTGCAGCCTCTCTAAAAGAGACCATGAATGTTCTTCAAAAAGTTAAGTGAAGAACGACCAACTGACCCAACAGTCCCATTTCTGAGTATTTGTGCAAGAAATTAAAATCAGGTTGTCAAAGAGAAATTGGAACTCCCATAGTCATCACTGCATATTCACAATAACCAAGATGTGCAAACAAGCAAAGTGTCCACTGAAGGACGAGAGGATGAAGAAAATGTGGTGTGCACACACTGTGCAATACTACCCAGCCTGAGGGAAGAAGGAAATTCCGCAATAGCTGAGAGGATGAAGGGAGGACGCTATGCTAGGAGAAGTAGAGCCGTCACAGGACAAATCCGCAGGACCCGCTTACCTGTGCGATCTGAAATGATCGACCTCCTAGAAGCAGAGAGTGGAAGGGAGACTGCTAGGAGCTGGGAGGGTTAATGGGTGGTTGTTTATTAATGCACATAAAGTCCCAGGTAAGCACAATGAAAACCTGCCAGTATCTGCTGTGCAACATGGTACCTCCAGTGAACAATGACAGAGTGTGCACTTAAAATCTTGTGAAATGGGTTAATCTCACGTTCAGAGATGTAACTATAATAAAACAACAATATATTAAAGGAGTTATGTAGAATATCTTTAAGAAAACGACACAGGCTGCGTTCGACTCGGATGACTGCTGTCTGCAGCAGGAGTGATAATGACGCCCCGTGTCCTCGGCTGCTGCCTCCCGGACGGGAAGAAGGGGCGCGGCCCCGCTCTCCAGAGCTCAGTGTGATCTGGGCGCTATTCCTGTCCTCCTATGTGCATGACATGTGCAGAGTTACATAATTTAAAAACACACTTTTATCCCAGAAACGATTTCAGAGACATGGTTTTGCACCTGCCGAAGTTATTCTCACATTGTCATGATCCTCTTTATTGTTCTACAACCATGAAGGCATTTTAACTACATGGCTAATAAGACAGTGAATTTGGACTATAGTGTATGTAAAGTTCTATGAATAACATATATTTATTGCTGCATTCCTTAAACACCTAAATCTTGCATAATTATCAGAGGGAATATTCACCAAGAATCACCCTCAGGGAGGATTTCCCTAAATTTCCGAGGAGCCATCGGAGAGTGGGCGGGTCCAGGACCCTCGGCTCTCCACTCGGCACAGGTCGTGACTGAGACCCCGCTGCTGCCGGCTCAGCCACTGTTCTGTGTTCTACACCAACAGTGATTCCATCGCCACAGAAGCACTTACTCAGACTGTCTTTCTTGCCAGAACTCTGCCCTGAGACGGCTGACGGAGCCAGCTGAGCCTTTCCGCACGCAGGGACGGCTGCGTGTCGAGGCGGCGCGCGGCGCTGTGCACGAGCGGCCGGACCCTGAGGTGAGGTTTGGATCTGTGGCCTAATCCCCTCCCCTGGGATCTGCAATTATTCCGGCCTGTAGAGCAATGACACGTGCAGAAGTGGGATTCACAAAAGTTTTCAGGAAACTTTTTCTCAGTTGCTAATTGCCACAAGCCGATTACAGCACCTTGGAAGTCCTGCCCAGGAGGCTGTCAGACGATGGAGAAAGACTGGGACTTTTCATGACCCCTGAAGGCTGGGAGGAGCAGGACGCAACCGTTGAGGTAAGTTGGGGAGAACCAGCAGACAGTTTGTGTGCCTCACTGGTTTTATGCTTGGGTGAAATTTTCTTTTTGTTAAAATCAATTGAATTGTTAAGATATCCAACAGCAGGTGCTCCATTGTTTACTCACCAAGAGAAGGAATCAGACAAAGGAAAGACAAAGAATTAGAGAAGAAGTAAGTGTGAAGTGAAAAACATGACATCCTTAAACTACAATAGAATTCACTGAGCTCACTTTCATAGCTAAATGTAGGTCAATTTGAAAGTAATGATATGGACAATTTGTAAGAAAACATACGTTACTCATGAGAACCTGGCAGGGAAGGGAAAAGTCTAATCAGGAAAATTACCTAAAAGGGAAGAGGGATACTTATTCAGTGTCTCTCAAATAAAGCACCAAGTGGTTTCATTGGCAGATTCTACCATTGTTTTAGCTATTAGAGGAGCCAAAATGATTTTCTTCATTAAACAGCACGAGCTGGTTACTGGAGTTCTCCACATTTAGTTTTGTGATTTCCTGTTAGGTGATTCACCACTCGGTACCTACGTAACACGGTAATTTAAAATATTGTAAGGAAAATTTGGATATCAAACACCCTAATTCACACTTTGACCTAGGCCCATGGTCCACTCTGCCTGCAGAGGTTTTAGGCCAACTGAGAAGTTACAGAGAACACAGTCCACCAAGGACAAGCTCAGTTCTGACACCCAGGGGAAGTCCACGTACTCCCGAGATCACGCTTGCGTTCCTTAGTTCACTAGAAGAACTCACGGGACGCCCTGAAACGGCGAGGCTCAGGACTGTGATTGTTATTTGGAATGGGGCGGGCAGGTCGCTGGCCGGTTAGGGCGGAGCTCCTCGCAGGCCTCCATGTTCCGCGTGCTGTCCTCCACCCGGGGCAGCCCCATTTCAAAGCACGGAAACATTTACTGTGGTGTGCACAGCTCCAAGTAGCAAGTGATCTCCACGTGCCCAGGTGGTCCCTCTAATTCATTCCGCACAAACCAGGTGGGTGTCATTCAAAGGACAGTAACACACACCATTAATGAGCAGCTGTTAGGCAAAAGGCCATACAGGTGACTTGACTTGCTCAGGGCCAAAGCTAAATGGAGTTAGACATAAACCAAACCCAAAACCAGCAGGACCCGTCTGTGAGCACAAGACCTGTGAACTTCAGACCTGCATAGCAGGTGGAGGGGCACTCTTTGTCGTTGGGCTGGACCAGGGTACCCTGCCACTCCTACCGCGGGGCTGGGCCATCACACGAGCATTTGAAAGAGAGAGGACACGCGCCTGCCTTCTCGGGGCGGCCTTCCGGTCTGTGTCACGTGTCCCTGGGGATGCTTTCTCGCATCGCTGTGGGGGAAGGGGAAACGGAGCTCGGTGAAGGACGGCTCGATCTGAGGAGAAGAGACGCTGACCCCGCCTGCTGTAGCGACGTGGAAACACCTGATTCCTATTCTATCCTCATTCGTTTCTATGGAAAGCCCCTGCTTCTCCTTTCAGCTTTCAGGAATAGTTGCTATACACGAAGTCACACATGGTCCCAGGGGACATGTAATACAGTGTGAACGAAATGCGTCAGCACGCAGGGGCCTTGTGCACACAGTGCCCATCGATGGTCTCAGAATTGATGATGAAGGTGAAAGGCAGACACAGAAAAAAATGCATGCCGTGTGTTCTATCCATACGACATTCTAGAAAATTTCTGCCCCTGATCTGTAGTGGACAAGAGATCACGGGTGTTGCCTGGATGGCTGGGGGAAGGGTTGCTGGCGGGCGTTGAGGCGAAGGAGAAAAGAGAGACTTTGAGGCTTGAGTGGACTGACCAGTTTGCTTAGCGTGTCGGGTGGTCAATCCGTATCGAACGGCCAATCGGGTGGCGCGTTGTCACGGATGGGAGAGTCATGACCAGGTTCAAGTTATCGGAGGATTGGCTTCTTTGATAGTCCTGTGTGACCTAGCGGTACTTTGGTCGGCGTCTCTAATGTTCTTGTTGAGGTTGAGCGTTATTAGAATGCAGTATACTATAGATGTGAGATGTCCTAATAGTGATAAGAGGCAATATATACCGGCAAGATGCTTAATAGCACTCTTTATGTATAAGTATTGGCTATGCATATCAGAGCTGTGATATATTGTGTAATCTATTTCGCAACTAATTCTGCTCTCGTTTCTGGGACTGTGCACTATTATATGTAGGTTTATGTGTTCTTGTTCTTTACTTCTAAAAATTGAACGTAGGGACGTGAGAGTCGCTTCTGTTGATGTTGTGGATGGAAATTCACCCTTGAAGGTTGCATAATATATCCTGATTATACAAGTAATTTGTGAGGCGCGTAAGATTTATTTTTGTGGAACAATTAAGCTGCTCATACGAATAAGAGAAAATAGGACCTAGCGAATAAATTAGTGGCAAATAAATAATTATTAACTGTTGTTCGAAAGCGGAGTATACTGGATGGGTTCTAAAGCAGAGAGTAAATCAAGGTTAAAAAAACCTAAAGATTATTATTAAAAGTTATTCAGTCTCTGCTGGGGCAAACTGGTTGTGACGTATCATCTTCT